GTTGGGGGCGATCGGGCCAGCAGGGGAGGGCAGTTGGGGGCGATCGGGCCAGCAGGGGAGGGCAGTTGGGGGCGATCGGGCCAGCAGGGGAGGGCAGTTGGGGGCGATCGGGCCAGCAGGGGAGGGCAGTTGGGGGCGATCGGGCCAGCAGGGGAGGGCAGTTGGGGCAATCAGGCCAGCAGGGGAGCAGTTAGGCATCACTCAGGCTGGCAGGGGAGTGGTTAGGGGTGATCAGGCTGGCAGGCAGAAGCAGTTAGGAGCAATCAGGCAGGCAGGCAGGTGAGTGGTTGGGAGCCAGGAGTCCTGGATTGTGAGAAGGATGTCCGACTGCCAGTTTCGGGCCTAAACCAGCAGTTGGACATCCCCCGAGGGGTCCCAGATTGAAGAGGGTGCAGGCTGGGCTGAGGGACACCTCCTCCGCCCACTCTGAATTTCATGCACCGGGCCTCTAGTATAATATAAAAGCATAGGGGAGATAGATTTTAGAGGCTATATGCCATGATCTCTGCCATATATCAATTTAATAACTATTTTCTACTGTAATGTCCTGAATCCCAGAAAAAAAGAAATATTTTTGGTAACAATCAGAAACATGATAAAACTATCAAAAGTATATTCATTCAGCCATGCAAATTGTAAAACCATGAGTAGTAATTCTTTGTTTGGCCTCAACTTAAAGGAGCAAATTTCCTGCAAGGAAAAAAAAAAAAAGCAAAAAAAATTTAATGCCATCTGTGGAAGAATCACTAACAATATGTTTTCAAAAATTTTTAATTCTGGTAAAATACATACAACCTGAAATTTACCAGCTTAACCATTTAAGTGTACAGTTCAGTGGCATTAAGTATATTCGTATTGTTGCACAACCATCACCACCATCTATCTCCAGAACTCTTTTCATCTTGTGAAACTGAAACTCTGTACCCATTAAACAAAACTGCCTATTCTTCCCTCCCCGACTGCCCTTGGTAATCAACATTCTACTTTCTGTCTCTATGATTTTTTATTACTTTAAGTACTTCATACAGTATTTGTGTTTTCGCAATTGGTTTATTTCATTAAACGCAATGCCCTCTTATCCATGTTGTAGCATGTGTCAGAATTTCCTTACATTTTAGGACTGAATAATATTCCATTATATATATATCGGTTATGTTTTGCTTATTCATTCATCCTTCAATGAACACTTAGGTTGCTTCCAATGTTGTTATGAACATGGGCACACAGATACTTACTTGAGACCCTGCTTCCCGTTCTTTTGAGTAGATACCCAGAAGGGGAATTGCTGGATCGTATGGTAATACTATTTTTAACTTTTTGAGGAACTGCCACCCTGCTTTCTACAGTGGTCAACTCAAATTATTTTTTTAAATATATTTTTATTGATTTCCAAGAGAAAGGAAAAGGGAGAGAGAGATAGAAACATCAATGATGAGAGAGAATCATTGATTGGCTGTCTCTTGCATGCCCCACACTGGGAATCGAGCATGAAATCTGGGCATCGAGCCCGCAACCTGGGCATGTGCCCCAATCAGGAATCAAACTGTGATCTCTTGGTTCATAGGTCAACCATCTGAGCCACATCGGCCAGGCTCAGTTATTTATACCCTGCCCATCTCCACCATGTTTTTCACAATGCACCTATAAAAATTAGGCTTGTTTTTTTATTACACCAAGCAGTGTGCTGAAGTATTTGGGGGGCTCTATCTCATGTCATTATCCCAATAGCCTGAGTGTGTTTATTAGTATCACGCCCATTTTACAGATGAGGAGATGGACAAAATCAGAGAAGCAGGCTTTCCCTGGGGCTGCTGTTCTCAACACTATTGGTGCTACCTCTGATCTGGATTGTCAAAGCTCAGGGACCCAGTGCTCTTGGTTTGGGGAGAAGGAAAGGTGGTATGCTATAAAGAGACCTAGGGTTGAATTGGAACATAGACTCTGTGCAGAGGCCAACGCCAGAAAGTCACCAAGATGAAAACCTAAGTGAAGCAGCTTTGTTTTTAATACTGATAGGATTTGGGTGTAAATGCAAATCTCTTTTCTCTTACCACCCCACCCATCTCTTACTAAACAGGCGCTTCCTGTAACCATCGAAGCTCTAAAACTATCCAAGACATATCTGAAATGACAGTGCACTGCTTAGACTTGAGTCGTCTTAAGCACCTTATGCTGCATGGAGTTAAATGTTCTCTGGGCCAAATCATTTCCCCCCAAACATTGCAATATGCCCAGCCTTCTCTTTATACGAGGCTTCCATATGATTTTTTCCACCTTCTCTCTAAAATTCGAAGTGCTTTATGTGGAGACCCTCAAGATCTAATCACCCGAGAAATAGGCAGCAGGCAGCTAGTATTATTTTCAAATTATCGCCTGAGAAATTGAGATATACAGAAAGAAAGAAAGCTGCTCTGCAACTTGGAAAGCCATCTGCGATGCTATAAAAACGTCTCAGAGGACTCTTGACCACATAGATCATTATTTTTATTGCCCTCTCCCTAGATGAAATGCGGCTTAGTTTGAGAGAGTTGTTTATCGTTTGGCAGGCTATTAAGTAAAAGAACCTAATTTCAATTCTCCATTCTGGTGGGTGGTAAGACTGAAGGGAATTTAGGGGAAGAGGAAATTATAAGAATGGGAAGGAAATGTTAGACCTAAAGATTGTGTTCAGAAGCCTTTTGGATAATCAATAGATTTAATTTACCCTTTGGGCTGGGGGTCAGATGGAGTGGGCTGCCTTCCTAAGCCACCACCATAACCACTCAGTTAATGCTAGTTCCCACAACTCCCATGACTGAGATAACAGCTCCGTGAGTTAATGCATGACCAGTGAGCCCATGACTGACATAACAGCTCTGTGAGCTAATGCATCACCATGAAATCACAAAGGAGAGGGCCCAGGAACAGAAGAGAGATAAACCGCTCATTTCTTTCATCTTTCGCAATGCTCTTGCCCCCTCCCTGTTGTTCACATGCAGTTTTCATTACACCCCATTTCCTCTTCTTCCCTTTTATTTTCTCATTTTGGGACAGTGAGAGATCATAGTCTTGCTGCCCATGGTTGTGACACTCTCAGTAGTCATGGCAACCACAAAGCCACGGATGGGTGGACCCCCATCTAGCAGCCTAGAGGGAGTGTCTGAACTTCAGCTGGAGGGAATCTACACCAGTGCAGGGGGTTCCCAACCGTCACGTAGATCCTTCACTTTGAGTTTTGTCAAAGGTTTTTTAAAATGTGAAGATGGGTAGTCTAATCTGTCAGCCCTTTTTTATGTTTTCCAGATTTGTGCCTCACTTAGAAAGGCCCTTCTAATGCCAAGATTATATATTTAAACAGACACATCCTATTTCTCTAAACAGAAATTTGGGCAAGGTAACACATTGGAAATGGGGCTGTCTCAAAGTTTGAATGTCTGGATATTGTGCATGTACTTGGACTCTCGATTTATTCTCTCCAGAAAAGTGACCAGAGTTATCTTTTCTCCTGGCTCCTTCTCTCACCCCCAGCCCTCACACCTCCACCCAGACATTTCATCTTAGGATGGCGGAGCTTCAGTTGCTACAACCAGAAACCCACTCAGACTAACTGAAGTAAATGGGATTGCTTGTGCATTTATGTATAAGGGAATATTATGAAACCCAATTTTGAGAATTATTCCTGAGTCACTGAAGAGCTTGAGTTCCCCCTTCTCTCAATTGTCTGTGCCTCTGCGCATCTGTCCCATCTTCTCCCTCTAATCAAGCTTGACTGCCTGCTTCACAGGATTCTGCCACAGGATCTTATGAGTCCAGCACTCACAGACAACTACCAGGCCTGCTTCTCAGTGTCCCAACACCAAGTTCTAATTTGGGCCAGATGTCTACTCCTGGTTTAGTTACTAATGGCCAAGGGCATCGGTCATGTGGTTGCCCTCAGGTTCTCAAAGAAGGGAATGTGGTAGGAAGAAAATGACTGGCGTAACTAGTCCAGTTCCCCACCCACACTGCTTTGTGACTTCTGTACTCCCTTCCAGTTTGCCCTTCATGTCTCTAATTGGATTTGGTTTTCGCCCACGGTAGGATTTACACCATTCCCAGGACCTTTTCCGGGTGGACTGTGGTCCTGTTCACTGGGGGAAGTTCTGATCTACAATTGTATTCTCGTGGAAGTTAGGGAGAGGGAAGAATCCAGGCTACAGATAGAAAAGGATGAGGAATCCCAGCCATCCTGGCCACAGGCACCTCTGGAGACAGGGGTACTGTCTAGTGTGGCCACTCACCACCTTGCAGGCCACCCAAGGGGGTGAGGGCAGGAGAGTGTAGAGAGGCTGTTGTAACCCATTTCTATCTTTTCTTCCTACCGCACATTACTCTTGTCACATGGATGGTGGAATACGATGGTGGGAATAAGCAAAAAGAGTTTGAATCTAAGAGTTGCTTCTGAAATCCTGTTCATAGAGTCAATATAGTCTAAGAAGCAAAATCCTAAGGAAAGAAATCTTTTCCATTTTCTTCCACCAGACTAAGGATTTGGAGGGAGGTGGAAGGGGAGGATGTGGTGAGATCGTAATTGGTTTCACAGCCTCTGTGATGCTCTGTTTCCTTATTTGTAAAAGAGGAAACTGCCCAGTGACCTCTTGAGATCCCACTGAACTCAAATGTTGTTATATCAGCATGATTTATAACCTACAAGTAATCCAATCAACATGCCCCTTTGTAGCACGCCAAAAAAATATTTATTGCTAAAATGCTCTTTGGGGGGAAAAAATGAAGGCCCCACGTTGCGATGAGACAAATATAAAAATTTTGTTAAAATACCCCTCTTTACTTTGCCTTTCTTTTTTGGGGGGCGGGGGAGTGGACATAGAGCTTTAATGTTGGGGTCCAACCCCAGCGGGTCCAGGGGTCCCCAAAGGTGTGGACGGATTTGGCGAAGAATGAATGATACCGGGACAGCGTTCAGTTGATCAGCAACCTAGCCAGGATCTCTAGCCAGGATCTCCAGCCAAGTTCTGGTCAGGATCTCCAGCCAGGTTCTGGTCAGGATCTCCAGCGAAGTTCTGGCTAGGATCTCCAGCGAAGTTCTGGCTAGGATCTCCAGCGAAGTTCTGGTCAGGTTCTCTTTCCATGTTCTCTCGCTAGGTTCTCCAGCCAGGTTCTCCAGGCAGGTTCGGTTGCCAGGTTCTTTAGCCAGGTTCTCCAGCCAGGTTCTGTGTAGGTTCTCTCGCCATGTTCTGTCTAGGTTCTCCAGCCAGGTTCTATCCAGGTTCTCCTGCCAAGATCTGTAGCCAGGTTCTGTCCAGGATCTTTTGCCATGTTCTCTCCCTAGGTTCTCTCTCTAGGTTCTGTGTCTAGGTTCTGTCTCTAGGTTCTTCAGCCAGGTTCTCTCTCTAGGTTCTGTCTCTAGGTTCTGTCTCTATCTAGGTTCTGTCTCTAGGTTCTGTGTCTAGGTTCTGTCTAGGATCTCCAGCCAAGTCCTGTCTCTAGGTTCTCTCTACTTTGCCTTTCTTTAACCATCCACCTTCCTCCAGAGTATAAAGTGCCTCAGCAGCATGAGAGGAGAGCATACATTTGTGGTGACTCTCCATACTGGAGGCTGTTACACAAATTACCACCAAGACAGAGCTGGGTTTGAAAACATCTTCCCACGCCAGTTCTAAGCACTGACCCAGACCACTGTTGCTAACACAGGAATTGGTGCCAATGAGTTTTGAGATATTAAGTATCCTCTTCTAACACACGATTCTTTTGGAAAAACATATGATAATGGTAACTACCTGCCATGATTTGGGTTTGGAGTTTTGCACCAAGGTTCAGGCATGGTAAATATGCAGAAGCTCAATGGGGTTTAAGGTTATTTTGATATCTCCTGAGCCCCGGCAGATGCGAAGGTTGCAGTTTTGTCCTTTGGGCTACCTCTGATGGAAGGCACGGGCCTGTTCCATGGAAGTTCTAAATCACATGTGCCCGAATGTGATCACAGCTGTATCCACGTCAAAGTGACTGGTAATCAGCTTAACAGTATTGGTAACTGAATTTATGTTATAGTGGCCTCCAAATAGTGAAGAGTCCTTACAGTGAGCATCTTCGATTCCAGCTCCATGGAACGATTGGGGACACTGATGGCCCAAGCATTAAAGGTTCAGACATCCCAGTCGGACCACCGGGTTTTGCTCATGAGAACCAACTAGAGCAGCGATTCTCAACCTGTGGGTCGCGACCCCTTTGGGGGTCGAACGACCCTTTCACAGGGGTCGCCTAAGACCATCGGAAAACACATATATAATTGCATATTTTTTGTGATTAATCACTATGCTTTAATTATGTTCAATTTGTAACAATGAAAATACATCCTGCATATCAGATATTTACATTACGATTCATAACAGGAGCAAAATTACAGTTATGAAGTAGCAACAAAAATAATTTTATGGTTGGGGGTCACCACAACATGAGGAACTGTATTAAAGGGTCATGGCATTAGAGAGGTTGAGAACCACTGAACTAGAGACATGTACTCCCTATCCCACCCCTACCCTATTAGAGGCATTGGGTAAGAGCAAGGACAACCCCTAGTCCCCACAACTGGTGTTACTCTAAAGTAGAGGCCAGCAAACTATTTCTGCCAAGGGTCAGGTTTTAAATATGTCTGCATTTTCAGGCCTTTCAGGCGCAGTTACTCAACTCTGCCATTTGCAAGAAGTCATCAGGATATATATATAGAGAGAGAGAGAGAGAGAGAGAGAGAGAGAGTCAGACTTGGCCTATATCCCACAGGCTATAGGCTGTCAGTCCCTGCAAGAACTAGAGAGTTTTATGGACTAGAGAGTTCCTTGCTTGTAAATTGGTCCAGAAAATAAGGGAAGGCAAGTCTCACACTGTTGATAACGTGTGCCTCCTAAATGACTTGTGTCCGTGTTGGTCCTCAGGAAGGTCTTAGGGGCCAGCCACATGTTGGCCCCGGAATGAAAAGGGTCATGGGAATCAGAGTCAGATGATGGGAGCCCCCAGAGCCCTCCACAGCCCTCATCCTCCACAGTGGCACCACTGGCCATAACCCCCTAAGCTTTCTGACTAAAAGTCTGGGAGCCACAGGCATGCTGCCAGGCCGGCCCCTGGCTCTGGGGTGGGGCTGGCAGGAGCAGTGGGTGGTGAGAAATCACTGTGCATGCTCAGCTCGGGTCTAGCACAGGGGAAAGAGTGCTAAGTGGCACTCAGCAACTTTCAAATCCCATGTCTCTGTGTCACCATATGTATATTATCATCCTCCCTCAAAGAGAAACAACAGGAGCCTCTTCCTGCCAGCTGGGATTGTGTCAGCGTTTTCAGAGCATGATCTTGACCTTATGGCAGACAGGCAGCTGTCCTGTTTTATATCTCTTCTTCAACCTGCCTGGACCTGTCTTTGCCCAGCAGTGACCTCTGCTCTTCCCACCACTTATCTCCAGGAGGCCTTTGACCTGTACACCTGGCTCCACCAGGGGCTGCCTCCCTCACTGTGATGTGGGCTGGGGGATCACCCCCTGTTTGGAATCCCCTTTCCGGGGGCTTAGTTCAAAAAAGCAACAAAAGAGCCCTGGCCGGTGTGGCTCAGTTGGTCACGTGGCCTCGTGCACCGAAAGGTTTCCGGTTTGATTCCCGGTCAGGGCACATGCCCAGGTTGCGGGCTTGATCCCTGGTAAAGGGCATGCAGGAGGCAGCCAGCCAATCAATGTCTCGCTCTCACATGGATGTTTCTCTCTCCCCTTCTCCTTTCCTCTCTCTCTTAAAAAAAAAATCTTTTTAAAAAAGCAACAAAATAGCCAATATGAAAAAGGCCAGTTTGGCATATATTCTTTTAAAGAATGTCCTTGAAGCTTCCATGTTTCAAAACATTTTCAGCAAGATTTCACTGAATCGTTTCAACTATTTCTACAGGGAAGACCCTGAGGCTAGGGCTCTAAGGAGCTCAGCCAGAGGCCTCCCTCAATGTGTTTACTTTTCAAACAGGTTGAATGAAGGAAAGCCAGGCCCGCTGCACAGAAATGATGCTCAGAGATGCAATAAATACAACAAACCTCTGTAGCATTAGAACAGAGATGAAGGGGGGGGGGTGGAAATCATCTTTTAAGTTCTTTTTTTTTTAAGTTCATTATTTACTTTCACAGAACTGTTTGTGCAGAACCCAAGGACAGGAACGTACTGATCCATCCTTGCTCTGGCCAGCCGCCCACCCGATGACGGTCAATGCAAAGGCCTGCAGCAGGGCCCTGGTGAAACGCCCAGTGGAAAACACACAAACTAAGCTTCCTTGAGCCCGTGAATTCGCCAGGATTATGCATGTGTAAGATGCATTAATTCATTAATAAGCTCCAAGACATTGCAGATGCTGGGCGTGGGGGGCGTGGGCGGGCGCCACTGACGCAAACTAGTGTGTGCGGGACACTTTGCCAAACTCTGGGGGCCTGTCTGGTTTGTGGCAGACGTGGTGGGGCCTCCAGCGGGGCTGGGCGGAGGCCAGGGCAGGACGCAGCGGCCTGGGGTTTGCGGGGGGAACAAGACAAAACGCCACAGGGGCCTCAGAGTTCAGTCTGCAGAGCAGTGTGCGCACAACAGTGTATCTGAGAAATGTGTGTTGGTGCTAAGCGTCCAAAGAAGCAGGGTGACGTCAGACGTGAGAGGCCAGGGATGCCAATCTGCCTACAGATTGAACAGGTTCTCCAAAGGCTGACGACCTCCAGATTTCAGGCCATGTAGGTCCCTGCAGCATGGTGTTCAGGTGTCTTGTTCCAGGACAACAGAGCATGAGGCCTCCTTGAGGTCCTGCAGCTGATGCAACTGCCAGCCTCTACTGAAGACCCCCTTCAATGCCTTCTCCTGTTCCCTTCTCCTGGTCTGCAAGGGAACATGGGTTTATAAGTGAGCCTTTTTAGAAGTACAGCCTAAGGGGATGTTCATATTCTCTTAGTATAATGCCATCAAGAAGTTAGACGTCAGAGATTACTGGGAGGGGAAATGGTTTCAGAATATGCCCTTACCGCTGCCATCAATCTGACACCCAGAAACATTTGGAAGGTGGAAAGGATTCATCAGGAAAGGCACATGACCACAGTATTCCTGAGTTCTTGCATATTCAAAATTCTTTTCCACCCTAGCCAGTTTGGCTCAGTGGATAGAGCGTCAGCCTGCAGAATGAAGGGTCCCGGGTTTGATTCAGGTCAAGGGCACATGCCCAGGTTGCGGGCTCCATCCCCAGGAGGGGGCATGCAGGAGGCAGCCAATCAATGATTCTCTCTCATCATTGACACACCACACACACAACACACACACACACACACACACACACACACACACCATTGTTTTCCTACATCCTTGATACTAGACTGGCTGGATCTAAAGTTCTTGCTTTGCATTTTCTTAAACTTTCTTAAAACTGCTGCTCCATTCTTGTCTAGCTTTGTATGTTGTTGGTGAGAAATCTAATGCGAGTCTAATCCTCTCCTCCTTTCAAGCTATTTCATGTGTCCATCGGGAGGCTCTATGGAGTTTTTTCTTTCTTTTCTCTTTAAAGCCACGCACATTTACCAGAAATATCTCTGAGATGACCATTTCAGGTCAGTTTTATCAGGTGGCCTCTTCACTGTGTAGATTCAGTTTGGGGTTTATTTCTAGAAAATTTTCTTGGTTTAGAATTTTAAATATTAGTTCTGAGCCATTGTTTCGATCTTCTCATTCAATGACTCCGATTGGACGTGCTTTGCTGTCTTCCATTTCAATTACTTTCCTCTGACCCTTCTCTTTCTTTATCTCAGTTTTACTCTCTTGGTTGTTTTCCTGCTTTTTAGTGCCTTTGATTAAGTCTCTATTTAAATGTATTCCTCCTGGGGGTTTGTAATTTAGTTTTCATTTCTGTTATGATTTTGTCCTTTTCTTGTATCTTTTCCTATATTCAAGTATTTCATTGCTCCCTCTTTTCTTTTTTGTTCCATTTGAGTTGTTAGGTTTTATATTTGTGATTCAAGGTGTTTTTAATACATCTCTAAATTCTTTTTAAAAGATAATTAATTTTTATTGGCGTATTTTGCTACACTTTTCCTAAGCTTCGTGGGATTTTTGAGAGGGGTAGGATATTTTTCTCAGCTGAATTTCTTTGATTCACATTTTTTTAAACAACGATTTTGTTCGGATATGATCTCTTGTTCTTATTCCTAATCATTTTATGAAGGAGGTCTCTAGTGTAGGACAGCATCTGCTATCACCTCTGCCTTTTTCTGTTCAGATTCCTTTATGCACAATGTTGATGGTGAGAGTAGGAAGGAGAAAAGAGTTTAATGTGT